TTGGATATTTAAACACTTCCCACATTGGCCGTATAATTAAAAAAATGTATGTATACCATATGATTCAGATTTCGCGTGATGGTCATCGTAATATTATGGTTCTATATTTTATGATATATTATATGAAGCTTCACAACTTGATGACTTCAATGGAGAGTCTGTAAAGCCCTTCACATGCAATATTTAATTATAAAATTAAAACACCCCACTACCCTACCCCTACTGGCTATGCGTGGGAAAACATCCGTTTCGGCTTGTCTAGGAAATTAAAACCGACGATATAGTCATTTATATATAAGGTACCTGTATATAGGCGGTGAATAATAATAAATAATATACATAACGTAATATTGCATAGTATAAGTACGCACTTTTGTCTCGGAGCATGTACGATGATTCGTCAGGTTCGGATTTCGGGTGTTCGGTCGCCGGATCTCTGCAGCTCGCCTTCGTTTCGTTGGCCATTTCCGTATACGGTATATCAAATAATCCGGTGTGTGTAGGTCAATGCAGAACTGCCACGGTATTGTTATATTATTATACTATCAGCCGGACGGTGTATCGGAAGTATAWAGCATCGCATGATAYTGTTGCATACATTTTACGTTATTATAATATTATATATCACTCGGAAGACGGCGGCGGCGGCGGTGGCATGATGCGCCCGTGGCGGTTATATTATTATTGCTACCTGAACGACCTATCGAACGCGACTGATACGCCTGGTCCGGCGATGCGTGTGTGCACATACCGGCCGACACATCTGTAGCGATAAACAATCGCGAGTCCGGAAGCTGACTGCGATTGCGAGTATTACACGATCGATTTATGCATGTTATGTTTTTATGGTGTCTTACCATCACGGCCTGTACATATAATATCAAATGTTATGTAAGTATTGCGCTACTTAATTATTATTTTTAATTATCATAATGATTGTATTATACGTACGTGAGTATTATAATAATTATAATATCGTAAATMCGTAAATGTACAATGTATGCCGTAAAATACCATGTGTTCCTATCATCGACGCGGTTTTTTCTTTCTTTTATTCCTTTTGATAGAGACGCTCTCGCGAATCCGATGTAAGGATTAGGCGCTCATCAACAGGTGTCTATATTCTATGAACACGATATTACGTATTATAAATTATAATAATATAATACTACTGCAATCGTAATATTTTAATCGTCACGTATGTGTGTCAKAGGACCATTCTCGTGGTTCGATTTTAAAATTAAAATAATTATTAGTTATTACGTGTAACACATTCGTTTCGCGGCGTCCGTCTTCACCGCAATAAGTGACGCGTGTAACTGCCGCGTTGTTCCTATAAACTATTCGTCAAAATATAATATAATATTCTAACATGTGGAATTCCGTTTGCGAGCGGCACGCGTAATCGAATGACACCCACCCAACTGCTACAGCGGTGTTCATCATCAGTAATCACTTAACTTTCAGCATGCGTACACGCCGATAACGCCGACAAACTACACAGTAACATAATAACGTTTATTATGTATAATGTATCAATTTTAATTTTTTAATCGCACTCAATATAATTCAAATTATTTACAATATATTTCATTGCTCTTTGCTCACCTCTTCGTTTGTTTATACACTCCTCTTGATCTGCGACCGTACACCATACACGCTGTTTCGATCGATCAATATTATATTATTATTTATCGTATTATTAATAGCACACTCTAACACAACATATTTTATACATGTATGATAATGATTGTATCGTGTATACACTTGTGCGTAGTTTTTTTTTTATTGTTATTTATTATCTGAAAAACGATGACCGCGGGACTTTTTTGTAAAGTATAATCAATTTTATGATTATTTACTGGCGACACGATAAAAAAATAATACTTCATAATATATAAAATACAAATTCGGATTAGACAATATCACTTCACCACGCAGTAGTTCGTTGACAGTTGATAAAACAAATTCTTCGATGATTTATCCTGAATCCTGATGGTTATTATTATATCGAAAAGAATTTAGAGTTATGTTAGGTACAGAGTGTATCATATAAATAGGTAAATTATTATCATATTAGTACAACGCAAAACCAATTCCGGATGTTGATCACGGTCGCACGCGTTCGAGTGACGACACACGGCAGCGGCGACGTTGCTGCAGGTCCCAGCCAAGGTGGACGTGTATTGGCCACATCCGTATTTATAGGTGTGAGAATCATAACACACTCGTATGCACGTCTTGTGTAGGTCCATAACAGGGGTGATAAAAATAAACGACACATCTCGCCCACTCCCACCGGTGCTGTTTAAATTATCCGAAAATAGATATTATAATATTTTTCGTAGGCGANCACGTCTTGTGTAGGTCCATAACAGGGGTGATAAAAATAAACGACACATCTCGCCCACTCCCACCGGTGCTGTTTAAATTATCCGAAAATAGATATTATAATATTTTTCGTAGGCGAWTGAAATACGAATAAAATCAAATTATACGAAGTACAAATTTCGATAACTATAACCGTGAAAATAATTTTGTTTCAGGTGAATTAATAAAATAAAATAATAAAATAACAATTTACCAAATATTGCTTGTATACGCGTGTCGCTTGAAAAGTGTCCGCGTGTAACAGGTTCGCCATCTCTGACATAATGTATGTAATTGCTTAGGTGTTGGAGGTCRTAGGCCGTAGATGGCGGATCTCTTTAATATTTGTGTCCCGGTATTTTGAGAGTTGCTCGTGTTTATAAATCAGGGCTTATTAAACAACTAATAATAAGATTAATAATCATAATAATATAATATGATGAAAATTTGTTTGTGTGGAAAACATTTAATGGTCAGAATATAATTTAAATTAATAAAAAATATAATCAAATATACATTACATATGTATATTGAATCAAATCAAAATTCATTAGCAAAATACAATTTATGTATACTCGATGTAGTCTCTTAAGGGAGCTGGAGCAACTATTTATTTTTTTCATATACACTAAGCTCAATAAGCGGAATAAGAAAATTAAATCAACAAAATCCCCATCTCCTCATGTGCACCGTGGAATTGGTCCCCTAATATAAATACCGAACTTCTCAAGTTMAAAAAAAACTCAACTGAAAACTCAATCATTGTATCTCATTTTCACGAATTAATCGATTTATACTACTACGACGACGTGCTCATTTATACTGACGCTTCAAAAAGCTCAAA